AGTACTTTAAAGTGTATAAATAAGTTACCCGGGCAATTGATTTACATCAGCCAATCATACGAATGTCCGCCTATGAGGCCAGAATTGTTAAATTCCGAAATATTCCGAACTTTGAAATATTCCGCCTGCGCAGTGTCCCATCCCTACTAACACCTAAACTTTTGACAATTATTTGAATCGATAAGCATTCTAAATTTTTTTCGACCATAAAGTTTTGGAGTTTCGAGCTTCGGAAGAGGTTTCGGAAGGAATTTCAGATTTCGGAAGAGGTTTCGGTTTCGGGAGAGGTTTCGAGTTTTCGGATGAGGTTTCGGAAACCATAATCCGAAACCCGAAACTTTCGGATTTGGCAAAAAAGGTTTCGGTGACCAACTCTACATCAGACTAAGTTTGTTTACTATTTATTGGCGTTATTAACATTTATTCGTCTAACTGTTTAAAAACAAGGCTATATTCATAAATAATTATGTACTACGTATTTAAGACTGGGTACCTCTTATTTCGAATTAATGTGCAGGTAGAGGTTGGAACCGGTTAATAAAATTCGACTATAAATTCGGGTTAACCCGGTTTTATATTAAACCGGGTTTGTAATGTTATAATTTGGTTATAAAACTAAGATTGACGGAACCGTAAAATTCGGTTTTGCTTTCAGCAAAAGTAACTTTAATTTAAACATTTTCATTTTGACCAATTAGAATTATTACTGATTAACTAATCATATGCATTGTACATAACTCAATTAAAATCGGCTTATATTCAACCGGTTTAGCTAAATACTAACCGATTTTCAAATACATGTAGGTTTTTGAATTTACAACCGGTTCCAATCTCAACGTGCAGGGGTAAAAAATGATTGCTCTCAAGCATCTAAATCAATAGTCTGAGTTCAAATTTTAATTGGTGGAAAATAAATTATTCGGTCAAGCGAGTACATTATCGCGATGAAAAAAAAAGATTACAGACCATCTTTTTTTATCTTAGAGTTGTGCTGATTGGCTAAAATTTAATATCCGCGTTTCTCAACGTGAATCTTTGACAAAATTACTGTAAGGTTTACGTAGTATTTGAGCACGATCTCTATGGCTAGCTAATTACACCGAGAGAGATGCTTGAGAGCACCCTTAGGGTGTTCTCAATCAATCAATTAAATAATGATCATAATGACGTTCAAGCATCTCAGTCAATGATGACATTTATAGAATTAAATGCTTGAACATACACTTTCTGTTTTTCTTGATCTACGTTATGCCACCTAAAACATTAAAAAAATTTCTACTTAACCGAAACTTTAACTTAACCGAAACTTTAACTTCGACTGCGTTGGTTCTCCTTTAATGATTTTATCAATTTAAATCTTTTGTTGCAACAGCAACAGAACCTATTTATAGAATCATTAGCGAAAATTGCATTACGGATAAAAAAAAATTTTTTTTGCGGATATTAATTTTAATATTTAAACGAATAGCAGTATTCATTACGGTTTGATTAAAAGTTAAAAGATGGGTTGTAGTTATTAAGTTAAGATCAAGGTATCAATTATTTGTATTAGATTAAAGTGACTATTTTTTCATATCGGTTAGAATTTGTTGAGAATTCATTGTTTATTATTTTTGATATGTAAAAAATTAAAAGTAATGCTTGAGCGACCTTTATCAATGATAAATTTTTGAAGAAAAAAAATGGGTTGTATCTCGCTGATTTGCGAAATGGTAACTCACTTGGTAAATTTATTCAGTTTTCGACTACAGTAATTTAAAATTTGCCTCCCACAAAAAATTGCTCGAAACGTGATTTTTAGCCAATTAGATCGAAGGATCGATCAGGTGTAACGTGAAAATCGCGTTCTAAAAAAAAAAAAAAATTTTTTACAAAAATTTTGGTATAACTTATGCCCTTCCTTGGTCTTAATTCTAACCAAAAAAATCCTAACTGGATACATTTACTAGGTTTCACTTATTGCACATCAATAACTACAGTACGTACGCAATACTAAAGTTGTAAGGTTATTTCAGATGACTGGACAAAGTCCAGCGTGTTTTGTATTAACTAACGTTAACGTTATGTTTAACGAAATAAAATATAAAACAAAATAAAATAAAATAAATAAAAGGGGCGTTTTGTTTGTGTACAGAATTAAATAATTAGATTCTTACATTGAATAAATATTAAAACAGGACTGAAGATACTAAAATATATATAAAAAATTATAAAGAGATTTCTAAGCAGTTTGGAATTGATATTGTAATTGAGAATCAACAATTTGAGAATCAACAATTTGAGAATCAACAATTTGAGAATCAACAATTTGAGAATCAACAATTTTTCTTGAATCACTCTGACGTAATTTTTTAGATTCATTTTTTGGATTAGGTTGACTAGGAACCTGATCACCAAAAAGTCTAGCAACAAAAGAAGAAGCGGTAGTACTTTCAGCTTGTTTTGAAGATGATTTTTGTTGACTTCTTCTTCGTTTTAATAAAATTCCATTTCCATTTCCCCTTACAGATTTATATTTTTTCTTATCAGTTTGAAGGTAACAAATTAAAATGACTAAGATTATTAAGCAAATTATATTTAGCCACATAAAAACTAAATTTGCGGCTCTAATCTCACATGCTTCCTTAATCTTTGGTGAAGTATACGGGTATGAACGTGGACATGAAAAAGGAATTGGTGATATTTCAGAGTAAGTTAGTGCTGTGTAGGTTGCTTATACGAAAAAAAGGTTAGATTAATTGTCAATGTTTTAAAGAAAAATGCAAGTGTTTCATAAAGAACAAAAGGGATAAAATCCGAGTTCCAAAAAATAATAGTTTCAGAAACATAATAGAGTTTCAAAAAAATAATATAGGTCCAAAAAATAATAGAGTTTCAAAAAATAATAGAATTTCAAAAAATAATAGAATTTCAAAGTAACATTAATAACATACCCGGAATTATTAACAGAAAAACGGTTGCGAAACTAAAAACATTCACGTGATAAATTCAATTATAATTTAACGATAAAATATAAAAATCCAAATATAAAATTTAAGTATAAATTTAAGTATAAATTTAAGTATAAATTTAAACATAAATTCAAAGATTAAAAATTAATATAAATTCTTGCCTATATGGTTTGTTACATTTACAGTTGTGATTACAGATACAACAAAGACATTCAATAATTACTAATGCTAATTAATTGATATAAAATAATGAAAATTTTATAATAAATATATTTAAGAGGACATAATGTTAAACAAAGAGTTCGTACGTACTGACTTGTGCAATCGTGAATATAAGATATCTAACATTTCAAAAATTACGGCAAAGACCCCTCGTTATTAGTAATCAAAGTCATAAACTTTAAAAAATTTTGGGAAAATTCATCCTTACGGAATTTCTATGAATTCATTATATTTAAGTTCTCCGTTTGATTGATCAAACGTTGTGATCTTTTGATATTCTATTCTTATATGGTAAGTTATTATAGAAGGTTATTATACATGTAGAAATAATGATGACGAATATGAACATAACACGTGTGAACAATAACATAGAAACTTTCAAGATTTCAAACAAAAAAATATGTATATATTTATTATTAACATTAGAAAAATAATTCGTTACTTACCAAGGACAGGACAGACAAATGTAAAAATGAAACCCGGTACTAATAAAAAACTTAGTAATTGTAATTTATGCTGACGATTCATGATGAAAAAAAAAAACACTTGGTGTATTTTAATTTTTTGTGCACCCGTTTTAATTCTACCACGTTGATTCTACCACGTTGAATTTAGACCATTGGCAAGAACATTTATTGATTATCAAAGAAAAAAAAAAATGTACAACTACGTGTAAGAGAGGATTATTCCGTGTTCTAGATATATTTCATAGCCATCCCACTGCCACAAAAAAACGGCTAGCCACAGAGGAATTGATTACCACATGGCTGTGTTAAGCTCGGTAAAAGTATATGTGGACAGTTTATAAATAAAAATACATTTCCACGCTCGGAATTATTTTAATAAATTCTAATAAATAACGATAACGATAAAAAAGAGAATTTCTTAATGGAATGTTAAGAAATTTAATGAACCAATTATTAATTTTAGGCACATACACTCTATTAACAATGTACTCACTTAAATCTTAATAATAGTTACGCGTCAATAATGTAGTGCATCAATAATGAAATCGTCAATAGTGTGTAGTGCATCAATAATGAAATTGTCAATAGTGTGTAATTGCCAATAGTGTAATTGCCAATAGTGTAGTCGCCGATAGTGTAATCGCCGATAGTGTAATCGCCAATAGTGTAGTCGCCAATAGTGTAGTCGCCAATAGTTTAGTCACCAATAGTGTAGTCACCAATAGTGTAGTCATCAATAGTGTAGCCGCCAATAGTGTAGTCGCCAATAGTGTAGTCGCCAATAGTGTAGTCGCCAATAGTGTAGTCGCCAATAGTGTAGTCGCCAATAGCAATAGCGTAATTGCTAATGGTATAGTCGTCAATGAATATCTTATACTTTGAATGTTTAGTTTCTTTAGTTTCTCTAATCCTTTGAATACTAATAAGACCCTTTTTTTCAAGTTTCAAATCTAAAAAATCACATTAGAACGGATAAGGGCGGAATGAGAATTCAAATAGTAATATACATGCAATCTTAGCAATATGCATGACATATAAACAAACGTTTTTCAACACATCTCGACGCCTTCATGCTGACAACAGATAAACGCTTGTTTATTCATAACAATAATCATAAGCACATAAAACATTAGAGCTTTGATTTTTTTTTTTGCTTTCATAATTTCTAAGATACCCGCGCGACCAGTGTTGTATATATAAGACAGTTACGATAAAAATTAAGGGTTTAAAAATTGTCAATAGCGTAAAATTTTAGTAGAATAACCTTTTAAATAAAGCTGTTTAAAATCAATTTTATACAGTATACATACATATTTATTGCTTTTTGATTGTAAATTAACAATTAAGATATCGATATTGATGCGATGGAACGGACGGAAACAACCAAAAACTCACGTCAGTCAAAGTCAGTCCAAAATACTCAACACTACCTATGGTGCGATGTCTATCAACATTTCACGATAAACGGTCTCTCACCCTCATAAAATCGATACCTATTCTACAAATTAATTCGACATAAGGACTATAACATCTTTTAACATGCCATCTATCGCTATTCGATAAAAAGATCTTTTTCATCAGTATAGCCTCACGAGGCTATGATTTATTTATAAGGACGTACGTAGACAATGGGAAAAAAAACACATATATAACGATAAATGGTCGATCTAACGCTAATTAAAGAACTTGCGTGTCTGATTGATCACCGGGTTCTTTTCGATATTAATTATTATTTTCGATTTTCGATTGATTTTTTTTTTTTTTTTTTTTTTTTTTTTTTTTTGTTTTTTTTTTTTTTTTTTTTTTTTTTTTTTTTTTTTTTTTTTT